GGCTCCATGACTTCTGCAGAAGTGCTTCATAATTCTTAACACATCTTAGAATGGTCTTAGCTGGGCCACGTACATAGATGGCAGTCTGGATGCTGCTCTCAGCACCAGTGCACTCGATGGTCATGTGAGGCTGAGCTCCCAGTAGGTCGTGCACACTCTTGGCCAGCTGCTCGGGAGCATCTCCTTTCTTCACTGTCAGCTGGACGTCTGCACCCAACTGTTTGGCCATCGTCAGACGCTCCGGGGAGAGATCTTAAGAAAGCAGCAGAGGGTGATCAGAGGCAAAGATCTCACCAGAAGATGTTGTTTTATATGTTATTCACATAAGTTAAGTGTTTCTAAACTGTAGTTTACCGGTGACGATGACCTGTGAGGCCCCCATGGCCTTGGCCACAAGCAAAGAGACCAGCCCAATAGGTCCTGTAGAGAGAGAGGAAACAAACAACAAGCACGCTGCAGATCAGTGTTACACAACGCATCCCTTATTGGGAAAGATCAGGTGTTTCACTGCTTACAACAGATGTCCTAAACGTTCATTAACTTGTTTTCACAACATCAATGACATGTTAAATATTAAGTATCCTGCAAAGTACGCTACGGTTCACTAGCTTTTCCCTCTTATGTTGAGTCAGTATGATTCTCATGTTTGTGACCTGCTGTGTGATAATCAGACCCTTTACTTGCACAGGCATTTTACTCACATACAGCACAATCACCTCTTTCACATCAACCTGAGATGCACTGTTCATTATGCTGCTGATGGAAAATCACCACTCAAGCTGGTGACTTGTTGTATTGTGTGATTCTAGGAGGTTTGGCTCATTTATACCTGCACCACAAATGAGGACGATGCTGCCGAGGGTCACGCCGGCTCTCCGGCAGGCATGGATCCCCACAGACAGAGGCTCAATGAGAGCTCCCTCCTCAAATGTCACGTTATCAGGCAACCTGGACAGTTGAAGAGCGACAGAGGAAGGGAAAGAGGAAGATAAACTGAAGAGGATATATGCAAAGGTTAGGCAAGAGAGTCAGCGAGCAGTTGGAGCTGAGGCAACTGCACAGTAAGCTGTGATGCAAACGATTACGATCCTAGAAAAAGACTCTGACTTGTAGCAGAAGTTGGCGCTGTGCTTGTAGTATCGACACAGATTTCCATCGTCCGGAGGCGTGGCACAGAAAAAGATGGTGGGGGACAAATTATATCGTCCGCTTTTGAAATACTCGTCGGTCTCACGGGGAACACCGGGCTCGATGGCCACTCTGTCACCTGGAAAATACAAAATGAAGTTTACCGCATTAGATGAGTGTGTAAAGGTAACGGTACCACAGTGCAGCTACATGTGAATTACCACCAAAGGCCTAAAGTGAGATCATGCATCTAGATTGTGTCCATGGTGTGAAATTACAGCATCATGGACGAATATATTTAAATCATTTCACACCACTGCAGGTTAAATAATTCCTTTATTCCCCTTTCAGCAGAATAAACAGATTTCTGCAGCGCCCAGCGTAGGAGACACAGCCGTTGGTGCTTCACAGCTCTGACACTCACCAACACACTCACTTACCTACACTGAGGTGCTTGACTGCTGAGCCGACCTTCACCACCCGCCCGGCAGCCTCGTGTCCCACAACCATCGGTTTCCTAACCACGAAATCCCCGATTCGGCCATACTGCCAGTAGTGCACATCCGATCCACAGATTCCAACAGAGTGCATCTGCAGTAGAACCTCTGAGAACAAAACACGACAGACGCAGTGAGGACGGTCCAGGACAGACTAATGAGAGAGTGTGTGTTCTGACACTACAGACCAGCCTGATTCCACATCTCTGATAGATTGAACCAAATGTTAATGAACACATGCGGTGCTAAGTTCAATATCAAAGCTTACAGCCGACTAAAATAGACAGAAAATCAGTTTCAAACGTCTGATTTTGGAGTCAAAGATTTTCAGAATGACTCAGAATCAGAAGCTTTTTGCCAAGTGAGCTCACACACACAAGGAATGCAGCGTGGTGAATAAGACTGGTACACAGCAATAACAAGACAGGAATAAATACAGAAATCTAAGAAATTCTAAATAAAATATGTAAAAGAAAAGCTTGCAAATACTACGTAAATATAAACTACTGTGAAAAGAGACATAACCCTCCCTAAACAAAGTAATAAATTAGGAAACAGTTTAAATTACACTTCTGCACATGAAGCTGAGGAACTGCACATGTAGTGGTGATGCTCAGAGGGTCAACAGGAGTCTGGAGCGGTTTACTGACTCCAATCAGATAATGAGTTGAATGGGATGCCAACAGCCTCGTTTCAAAGGCACAGAAATCAATAGCTCGTTTCTCTTAAGTTTAAAAAGGAACGTGAAGTTGAACCAGAGTAGTCCGGCAGCTGTAACGCAGAGAATCAAACCGCTCAGTTAGCAGCATTTATGGACCGCATCTGATTCATACAGAACACAACCTTTGCACTGCTTATTATTATTATTATTACTATTATTATTATTATTGTTGTTGTTATATTATTATTATTGTTATTGTTGTTACTATTATTATTACTACTATTATTATATACTTAATCCCTATCTTTTTATATATAAATATAAATATACATATATATCTTTTCTATATACCCCCATTCAGAAGCCCATTTTTCATATTCTGTTTTTGCACTACTCTCCTTGTTTGCACTATTTCTTATATTTATATGTACATTTTTTACTTTTTATTTTTTTTCCTGTCTCGTATATGTGTACCTGTGTTGAAAGCTGCTATCAACGATGTGAATTTCTCCACTGTGAGATAAATAAAGGCTGATCTTATCTTATCTTATCTTATGAAGACGCACAGCTCATAAACACAGCAAAGGTTCTGTCATAACAACACAAACGTACCATGAGGTTCTGGCTCCGGTACTGGGCGGTTTTCCTGCGGACACAACAGTTGCAGTCAGTTCAGCTTGTGAATACTGTGAAGTCAACACGGTACATCGGTGGGTTTCTTACGAGCCGGAGGTCTCCCGGAGCGTGCACCACGACGGTCAGGTTCTCCTGCGCCATGACAGAAGCAGCACGGAGGTTTCAACGGGACGAACACGACCCACACGAACAACAGAGTCCGAGTCCAAACAGAAGTCTCACACTGTGCTGAACCTCAGGCGCTTCAAAGTCCAGCAGCAGCCTGCACATGACTGCTTCCTGGTAGCGGGGCCGGCACCAAAACAAAGCATCTGATTGGTCACAGCCCAGCGGCACAGTCCACTTTGCAGGGGGGGACGATACCACGTAGAGTCAGTTGACTGCGCTCACAAAATGACAACTAACACCAGCTGCTGCTTTATCCTGATTTACTTTTAAGTCGTTAACATCGATATAACGTGATGTAATGTCCACTTAGAAAACTAAAAAAAAAAAAAAAAAAAAAAAAACTTCAGGTTCACATTTTTGTTGATTTAAATACAACGTCCACTACAAGACGAGCAGTGAGTAGATCAGCCATCCTGTTTGTTAAAGCAGAAGTGCAGGATGTTGCTGTTCAACAAAACCATCTAACACAAGCAGATTGTATACATACATGTACATCATCTTATTATTATTACTTTGTTTTATTCCCTTTTTGCACTGTTTGGAAATTTATTTGTTTCTGCTATTTCTCTCTCTCTCTCTCTCTATATATATATATATATATGTACACACACGCACACATTCATACGTATATATTTTATTTTTTGTGTGTTTTATTCCTTATTCTTATTTATTTTATTAATTAGTTTCGGTGTGGAACAGGTGCACAACACATTTCTCTGTGCGTTACACCAGGTATAACTGTGTTTGTGACCAATAAAAGACCTTGAATCCTTGAATCCAGTAACACTGAGTGAACTATAGCTACAAACCAAGTCCGTTAAGCTCACAGGGTTCATTCCTGTGGCTCACATGGGCAACTACTGTGAGACAGAAGACTGTCATGACAAAATGTGGGTGCATTAGTATCACCTGTCTTTTTAATTGAAGGTTAATTTCATGAACAGAAAATTAGGGACTAAGTCAGACGGATAAAATCCTGTATTTGTCAGAAACAACACAATAATACGGACAACATTACAGAATGAGATTATCCATGTGACACGGATGTATTTTATGTGAGTGTACATTCACACAAAAATCCATGTGTGCAGAACGGCAACACAAACGTAATGAACAAATACGACTAATTTGTGAGTACATTACCGCCAGTCTGCAACTGAGAACGGCACAACACGCTTTCATATGTGTTGTCTTCATATATGTTCGCTTTGCATTTGGAGCACTGGACATAGCCGGGATGGAAATCACACAGTTCACCTGAATATTTCTGCAGGTTGTCTATGCTGACGTACCCTGTAGGTGATCACAGGCAAAAGGCATAATGAGAACAACATGAGACTTCTTCACTCCATGAGATGCTGGACAACACCACACCTTTAACATTGGTCCTTTTATTACAATTATGGGAAGACGTACAATAAACTATGTCAAAGCCTCACCTGCTAGCATGCTACCACTGCGATAGTTTCCCCAGTGACCACCCAGAGGAGCTTCTCTTTCTGAGGAGTCTGTCTCAGACGGTTCAGAGCTGCCAGCAGAGCAACAGGGACTTCATGAGTTTACAGTTCACTGAGTTCCAATTCAAAATGTTTACAGTGGAAAGTGAACATACTGGCTTCTGCTGCCTTCTTCACTGTCCTCATCCTCTGTAGGGGGACTACAACCCTCACAGGAGTCCTGTAAAGCAGGAGCCACTTCAGCTGTGCTGTTTACAGCCATTCACCTGTTTAAAAGCAGTCGGCTTGGGCGCTCACCTGTGCTACTGACTGTTCGTCTTGACGCTCCCAAATCAGCCTCCCAACCACGTTTCTCACCTCTGAAAAGACATTTAGACGACCACTGAAGTCTGATTCATCCAACATTTTATTTTCTTTAATGACAACAAATAGTCTAAGAGTTGAAGCGACCAAAGAATGACAGATCTGTTCAAACAGCTTTAGGAAACGTGAAGAAATAAAAGTATTCAGCATCTGACAGTCAAAGGAAAACAACGACAACAACAAAACATTCAAAGTTGGTTTGTGTAACAAAGAAATGTGTTCCCCAGCTTGGTTATCATCCTGAAGCCTGCAGCATGTATTTAGTATGTCTGACAGTAAATCAGTGAACATACAGGAATCCTCACCGTCCTGCACGGAGGCCGGAGGCAGCACATAGTGACCGATGGACACAGACTTCACACTCTGCCGCCGCTCACAGACGGACAGAAACAAGCTGTGAAACACCGTCACCTTGTTCCACAGGTAATCTTTGCTCTCAAATATTCTGAAAAACAGTGCAGAGCTCTGAATGGACTGTAAAACAACAGATGATGAATGTAGAGCTTTTCCATCATCCTCACCTCACAGTATCAGGACATGCAGCATCCGCACTGAAAAGGTAATCTGCTTCCCTCCAACCAGCAGCAGAACCACCCTCCAACACTACAAGAAGAGAAACAGGATTAAAACAAGCCGGCTACAGAAACACGACTTCACCTTGAGCTAAGTTATGGATCCCTTTTAAAGACTAGTCTGTGTCTAGCTATGTGTAGCTAGCATTATGTTTGGATTGTGTCTACATGTAAATTCATGAACAACCTTCCAGCTAACCAAATAATACATTTAGTTCCACTATTTCAGTGGTGGTTAATGTAGCTAGTAGCTTAGCTTAAACGTTGACCTGATATTAGTTTACTTACTCCAGAAGCAGGAGCAGGCCTGTGGCACGCTGCTGGAAAACCAGGCAGTCTTACACCGAAACATAGCCTGAACTACAGTCTATTGAGAGGGAGGTGTTAATTATTATTCTCTTTTTTGTATTTTTTTCTCCTCAAAAGCTAGAAGTTATATGACCAACTGTAACACATTAGCCGGTTTATGCTAGCACTGCTAGCCTAGCAGCTCTGTGGTTTGGCGCTAAACGGCTCTGCTGCGTTCACGTGCTGTGAAAAAGTGTCGGAAATATTATAATCGAACAGCTCGGGCCTGCTGCTCGCTAACAGAGGGGTGTGTTTGATTGCTGTTTGTTTCTCTCAAACCAGCTAACCTCAAACCTAACTACGTAAAATGAGAAGCAGCAGTCACAAAACGCAGCTGTTACCTCCCAAACACGCAGTCTGGACGGTTAGAAACCTGTTGAGCGGTTTAAGGTAAACTGCACGAACGCAGCCTGCGGAGCTGTTAATGTTATTTACGTCATTACCACCGCTAACGTGTGTATTAAACATATTTAGTGTTTGCTCGATATGCTTTACCTTGTCAGACGTGGCTGGAGAGGGGCAAAGAGAGGAGACAAGGAGTCTGAATGAACTGGCATCTACAAGCCAAGGTATGTCCAGCTGCTCTCACATTCATTCCTTCATTCATTCATTCATTTGCATTACTAAATTCAGACTTTACCAGGATGTTAGGTAGTTGTTGTTCTCACTAAGTGTAACCTGTTAAACTCACCTCCTGGTTGAATATTGTGTGTTTTCACATTATTGATGTCACTCAGGTGACCCTCAGGTCTGTTTTCCATTTACAGAAATGACAGTTTAACACAGAGAGTAAAATAATAATAATAATGAATTGAACCCAGCTCATAAAGAAAGTCATCATTATGTACGCAGACCATTTACAATAACATCCACAGTTCCTTCCAGTAGAGAAATCAGGTCGGCATTGCAAAGCTTCCTGTCACGTTTAAACAATAAAGTGAAATCCCTGCAGTCTTATTTACGGTGTTTTAAATATTAGGATTAAAAACTTACAAAAGTGTGTGAAATACAGATTTTAAATAAATAGCAAGGTTAAAACCCTACAGGATTATTAATTATGAGGATTTATCTGATTAATTAAACAAAAAGAATTGAATCACTACAAATTATACCTATAAAACCAAACAAATGCACTCTTTCCTACGACCAAGTATCTCTGTGAAAGGATCGCAGAGACAAACCCGAGAACACAAACACTTGAAGGTATAAATATGCAGACAAACTGCCTCTTTGGCTTCTTATCACCTCTGGATTATGTCATTCAGGCCCTTTCTTCCAGTTTTGTTTTCAGTGTCATCTGCATGCATTCCTTTATAAAGTCTTTCATCCTAAACAAACCATTCAGTTGCATTTCTCCATTTATTTATTGAGGTTTCCTTTTTTGTCGCTTGTGTCGTGCAGTACTGTATTTCACCACCAGATGGCAGCATTTGCAGCACATGTGACTGGTCCATTTTCTAGGCTTTGAACTGCTCAGGCTGCTAATATATTTAAAGTATAATCCTGTATTGATCAGGCAGTTTTGACTGAAGGTTATTTCAGTGTGCACAAACATTGCAGCTGGCACTGAATAACTGAGAGCGTCTAAAGGAACTGAGAACCACAATATTCTACATGCAGCCTCCCTCCTGTGCTCACTGCGATACTGAATTCATGACAGATTGGGTCTCGATGCAAAGCTTTTCCTGCACGACTCTACATCAGAGGTTGATGTGAGGTGATGATTAGTGGAAGTAAATGCATTTCCTCCAGATTAAAGGCAGTTTTGTGTTTCTAAAATGTCCGTTTTCATTTACAGCAGCATCTTGAGGTGTGTGCTGGTTTGTAGATAAACCCACATATCATCAGTATGTAGACATCAGCAGCCCCGGTTTGCGTCCTATCAGCTCCTCGGTGGGGTTGCCTGCAGGTCAGGCACTCATTGCCATCACACAGCCGCCCGCTGACTCCGTTTACGAAGCCCAATAATGTCATGTAACCTTGTGTTTTATAACAGCGGTGGCCTATAAAGGACTATATTGCTGTACAGCACTATTGCTGCTGCTGCCGGCATAACTGATGGGCTTTGCTTGTTTGAACTCTGAGAAGCCGGCGAGGCTATCACTCTGTCACACTGGGATGGGTTTTATCCCAGGATATTACAGGTCTGCACACAGGAATTGCATGGAAGCGATTGGGCACCTGGCTGTAGCCGCTCAGCTCCTGTGTGTCGGGATGTGATGCAGGCACCAAGGCTGAGCCGCTACCTGAGACCTGAGTAATGTCCTACAAACAAGCACACATCACAGTGTGCCGCCTGCTCATACCGTTAACAGTGACTGAGTTTCTTCACTCCGTGCAGCGACGACTGGTGGATGTGGTTCAAAGCAATGGTAACTCTGTTGCCATGACAACAGTGAGGCCACACCCAGTTTCTTATACCCAACCCCCCAACATGTTCGGTTCACAACAAAGCTCTGGAAAGAGGGGCTGGCTGGTGGTACAGGCACCGAGGTACAATATGAACAGAAGGATGGGAGAGGAATGGCATGACGCTGCTCTACCCCATCAGCAGGCAGCATCTTTATTAACATGATAGTAAATGTTATCAGGTATTGTTTGTCTTGCATAAAACACTTGATATCACTGGAATATGAATTCACCTCAGTGTGGAAATCATTTGTCTTCTGTTGCTTTCTGACTGAACAGACAGAAGAACGTGTGGATGAAACGTTGTCGAGCTGAAACGTGTCAACGAGCTGATTAGTAGACTGACAGAATAAATAATCTGTAACATCTGCTGTATGTGTGATGCTCGTATATTTGGATGTGGGGGAAATGATCAGTATATAAACCACCACACTGGACTGTGAACAACATGCGCTCAGCAGTTTTATTCATTTAAACAAACATCGTTCTCAAAAACAATCTTCAGATGTTTTATTCATCAGATTTTTCTATAGACGAGTGAAGCCCTAATTAAATGAAGAACTGAAACAGCTAATCAATTCATTGATTAGCAGACTGACACAGAAGTATTCTACAGATGTCAATGTGCTCTGCTCGGTGTCGTTTGAGACAGTAACTCATGTTGGACTGGACAAGACGTGCAAACAAAACATCTCATCTGCAGACATTTTATTCTCTAAACAACAGGACAAAGAACTGATCGGGTTATGATGGAGAACATAACTGTCAGCTGCAGCACAGATTAAATGGACCCGACTGATGTAAAAACACTGATGTATCGCCACACTCTTAGATTTGACGTGTCTCCTGCTCTCTGTGTGTCCTCTGATGTCCAGGAATTATTCACATAATCTCAATTATGCAAAAATGACGGGCTCTGTCCTCTTCCTCTGCTTTGTTTCTTGTTGTGCTGATTTGGTCCTTTCAGCTTGGCTCCGGCTGGACGGAGACAACGGCCTGCGGTGGCAGAGCCGGCTGCCCCGGGCTCATCCGTCTCCCCTTTGTCCCTTCTCATATTGTTCCTTTGTGCGGCAGCCTAGATTGTTGTGCTGGATTGCTATTGTTGGTGTGTTGCTGCTGTTGGTGGTAGTATTTTAGGGCTGCAGCTAATTATTATTTCTGATTTGGATTCATCTGACAGTTATTTTCTGGATGGACTCAGTTGTAGACTAATGAACTGATCATTTGGATTATAAAATATATATATATAAAAAAACAAATAGTGAGAAATGTGCAGCACATTTTCTCAGAGTCAGACCTTTGTGCTGTTAGTTTTTTCCAAGCAGTTCTAACTCAGGGGTGTTCAGATGCATAAAACTGAAGAAATCAAGCAAGCAGTCACACTGGACCTCAGAGGGCCGGTGGGCAGAGTTTAGTGGTGAGTTTGCAAGTTGCACTGCAGAAACACAGAAGGCCGTCTCCAGAGCCGGTGTTTGTCCGTTTTGGGCTGCTGTAGAAACGTTTTGTGTGTATGAAGGTCTCATTCTAACGAAGCAAAAGCTAACTCCTGCAGGTCGTAACGCTCTGATGGAAACAGCTCATCGATTATATCTTTCTGCTGCTAGAACCCACACGTCGGCCCTTTAAATGGTTCGTCGACTAAATCTGTTTCTGAATAGTTTTCTGTTGAATGACAAGCTGATAGCTCTGATGTGTTGTTGTGTCTCTGTTACATACATGTGGATGTTTTTCAGGCCTAATTCAAATACAGACATGGAGCTTCCTATAGGCGCTGTTTGGCCCGGTTTAGCTTTTTTCTTGGACACGACCTCCTCTGTGGTTACAGAGGGAGCGATGCACTAAGAAGAGCTGTGATGCTCGTGTTTAACTGGAGAGCTTTGTCCGAGTGCAGGCTGACTCATCGATGTAGTCTTTAATGGAGCGCATCATCAGAAAGCAGCATAATTAAACATCACGCAGAAATAATAATAAGAGCAAAAAGCACAGTTCCCGACCACGTGGGGGCTGTGGAGACGTGCTGTGGGCGAGCTGTCCTGTACGAGGGACGGTGATGTGTGTGAAATAATGTCCAGGGCTCCAGACAAGCTCCACGTCTTTATGAATTGCAGCTGGCTTTGGATTTTATATATTTACAGCTCCAGGACATCAGCAGATATCCAGTCAGCAGTCTCGTACAGTACTTCATCAACGGGATGGAGCAGTAAACCTTACTGGAGTTACATCATCCAGGAGTTATAGACGAGTCCATCTGCTCTCCACACCAGCGTGTCACCTTAACTTGCATTCAGCAGGTTAGTTCTGTGTTAAATGAGCAGCCTATTATCCACCCATTTCTCTCGCTCCCTATCAAGTGTCTTTCTCTCCAGCTGAACCAACAACATCAAAGGATCGCGCTTCAAATCGCAGGTGTTGAAGGATTAAGGCCACCGCAGCGTGGGGTTTTTATTCTCAGCTTCATCTTTGATGTAGTGTCTCTTTGACTCACTTGTGTCTCTAACCTGTAACATGGATTAGCAGCCCGGAGCGTCCACAGCTAAACGCTGAGCATGGAGGGCTTCATTCTCACACAGCGACAGCCAGTAGGTCCACTTTAAA